ACTTAACATAAAGGGCATGATAGAGCATAAAGCAAACACTTGGGACTTCCATTCTTTTTGGGGGGTGGGGGTCTTTTTGAGACAGGGTCTCCCTATAGCACAGCTGGCCTGGTACTCATTATGTAGACCAGGCTGGCCTTGAACTCATAGAGATCCACCTACCTCTGCTGGAATTAAAGGTGTTTGCCACCACACCTGGCTGGGGGACTTTGATTCTTAAAGCTTATGTGACAGTGTTGTTTTTCTGTTAGCTTCTTTAGCTTTACTAGTAGAGGCAGTTAGGGTTTTTTGTTGTTGTTGTTCGTTTTGTCATTTTCTCAATTCCTTGGGGCATAAATCTTGTTTGACCTGTGCTTGGTTCGGACTGCCAGGCTGAGACTTGGGCTTGAGCACTCCAGAAAAGAATTTCTGGATAGGAAGTAGCCCCATCCCTCCTGTACTTCCCTGGGTGCTAGGGGAGCCTGCTTTTATGTATGTATGTAGACCCAACTGTTTCTCAGTTAAGAAGTTTTTCCATTACTTTGCAGCACCATCAGCACCAGGCCACCCAGGCTCTTCATCTGGCCAGTCCACAACAGCAGTCTGCCATTTATCATGCGGGTCTGGCACCAACCCCACCTTCCATGACACCTGCCTCGAATACACAGTCGCCACAGAATAGTTTCCCAACAGCACAACAGACCGTCTTTACCATCCATCCTTCTCATGTTCAGCCGGCGTATACCAATCCACCCCATATGGCCCACGTACCTCAGGTAATCCAGCATTAGCCGATCCTCTATGAAGGCCACATAGGGTACCATGGTTGTCAGATAAGCAGCAGGGAGCCAATTGCTCCCCATGCCAGGAAACCCTGTGTGTGGTGCCATTTGCCTGTCTCCCTTTCCCTGCTCAGTATGTGATCTGGCCCTCAGTGAAATTGTGACTGGTCAGTCATTTACTGTTTCCTAGCCAAGACCTTAAAACTATCTCTGAGTCTGGAATGTACCCCGGTCCTTTCCTTTCCGTGTCTGCTTTGCTGTCTCTATAGTTTCACTACTTTGTGTATATGTGTATGCATATAAACAGTACACACACACACACACACACACACACACTACAGAGAGAGGAAGAGGAAGAGGAGCCAGGCAAGGTTAGCAGGTAGGTAGGCAGGCCTTCATTGGTTCTCAGTCCTCTGATGCAACTGTGCTGGGCCTGTTAGCTTGAATGTTAGTCACGTGAATTCCTGAGAAATGTCTGTAGTAGTTTTCCTGGTTATCCCTCCATCTGCTGTGATCATGTGTTGTGCTTACTTGAGAGAACTTTGGCCTTGTACTTCGATGCAGTGTAACTGGATGCTCCAGGGATTCATGTCTTGAGATCAGCCCTAAGCATTTTGGAGCTCACTTCTAGTGTAAAATCTGAGGTTGACAGGTGTGGTTGCTGACTACATACAGGGCAGCCCAAGGCCAGGGCAAGTTGTATTCCTGAGGAGGTGCTATCCTAAAGGAGAAGCCCTCCCTGGGGATGTTAGAGTGAAGTGGCTGCATCAGATGTCTGTTACTTTTTTAACAGCTTTCTGAGGTGGGTCTCACCTATGTGAGTTACTGAATGAATTCTATTTCCTGTCACATAGTATGCTAGAAAGGTTCTGGCAAGGTGTGGGCTAGAGGTGCGATGTAGTTGGGTCTCTTGCAGAAGACTAGTTTGTCACTAGGTATCCTTCCCCAAAGAGGTGAGGGTCTCTATAGGACGGTCATTGGTTGGTCAGTCGGGAGGGGTGCCAGTTTGGTCAATGTGGGCAGTGTGCTTTGTTGGATTGACATCAGAGCTGGGGTCTTGAAGTGTCTCGCAGAGGCTGGTGGCTAAGTAGGTTTGTGAACCTACATGTAAGATAGGGTCACTAAAAACCTCACTGGTCTTTTTGTGCAGAAATAGTTAAAAGCCCAAATATGCTCTGGGTCCATTTGAATGTGTGAGTATGAGTGTTTTGAGGTTGATGATCTAGAGCAGTATGCGGTATGGGCAGTAGGAAACAGGCTCTTCCTGGTCTGCCCACTCCCTGCAGAGCTGGTTGGCCCAGCTTACTGGCTGACCAACAACACCTTTCTAACTTGAACTTGCTGCTACTACTTGGTACGGTGGCACAGGTCTGGACCAGATTAACTTCAGATTACTTCTTCCCATCTCACTGGAGCCATTAACTGAGGTGGTCTCCTGCTCTATCAGCAGAGCTTTTAAAGTGAAGGGAGTCCAAGTGCTGCTTCACTTTGTCTAGTGAATCCATCATGACTGGGAGGGGCAGAAAGCTTCCAAGGGAGCTGGGGAGGGAGTCCCCTGCATAGGTTTTTGTTAGCTGCTTTCTTACTGGAAAAGGATGTTCTTTGTGTATGGCCTCATGCCATAGCAAGCTGAAAAAGCCTCCCTCCCCCCAATCAGGGGCCTGTTCTTGGTGAAGACCTTGCCCTCGTTCAGTAGCAATCAGTGATCAGACATGTTGGCAAGTAGGACACCGAGGCCTGACTTTCCCCAGGCTCACTTGTTGCTGCCCCTCCCCTGCCCCACAGGATCTGCCAATACGTGACCCAGGGAGTGGTCCCAGAGAAAAACCAAAAGGCTCTGAGGCCCATCTTGTCCCTTCCTGAGTCCCAGCCAAATGAAAGGAACAGTTGACATGTTGTTTAAGACGGAGATGTTGCCTGTATGCGTAAAAGAGCTCTCTGTTTCAGGCTCATGTACAGTCAGGAATGGTTCCTTCTCATCCAACTGCCCATGCGCCAATGATGCTAATGACGACACAGCCACCCGGCGGTCCCCAGGCCGCTCTCGCTCAAAGTGCACTACAGCCCATTCCAGTCTCGACAACAGCGCATTTCCCCTATATGACGCACCCTTCAGGTGAGGCGTGTGTGTGCAGGGGCCGCCGGGGCACCCCAAGCATTCTATTCGAAAAGGTAGAATGACAGGCAGGGTCAGTGCTTCATGCCCTGAATCTGAGTAGCGAGGCCCATCCAAGTGTGCATAGGAGGGATTGTGATGATTAGGCAGCATCTGGGCCCAAGGCCTCCAGAGCTGAGTCTTTGTGTGTTCTGCTGGTATCAGGGTTGGCTTGAGAAGCAGCAGCCTCATTCTGGGTAGCTGATGCATGCCGAGGACTCAGTTGGCCTTCCTGGTTATGTATGACAGGCTGGACAGGGCAAGTGTGTTCCTTCCTGAGTCCCAAACAGACTGATATGTGGGGGGTTATGCCCATGGCCGAGTTTGATTGTAGCTTGAAGAACATTGATGAACACATGCTGTGTGCGGACTGGTTTGAGTATAGTGTCAGCCCCAGCCTGTGCCCTGATACAGGAGAACGCCCATGATGTCTTGTACTGAATGGCTGCTGTGGCAATACCTCAGTCTCACCTGTGACTCTGAAAGCAATACTGGTGCTTGGCTAAGTTTTGGGGGGAGGGGGATATGAAGACCTCTGCTCCTACCCCAAGAGAAACGAGTCTGGGACTTGTATCTGAAGTGGTTTTACGTCTGACTGATTTGTTCTTCCCTACCCCCACCCTGATGCCCCCATCTCCTCCCCGCCCCTCCGCCCCTGTGGCTGCAGCTGGGAAGGGGGGGTAGTGCATTAAACCTCCAGTCTTACTCAGCTAGCACAAGAGTAGTTAACAGTTGTGTGCTGCAGACACTAGGCTGGTGGGTAGTGGTGCCAGTGTTCTGTTTAAATAGCCACTTTTCTTTTTTACAGTACAAGCCCACCACCAACAGCAGTTGTAAGGCTGCCCTGGAGGAACCGAAAGGCCAAATTCCCTCCTCCCTTCTACTGCTTCTACCAACTGGAAGCACAGAAAACTAGAACTTCACTTACTTTGTTTTTAAAAAGCTATGTTGATTTCTTGTAACATCTGATAGGAATGCTAACAGTTCACTTGCAGTGGAAGATACTTTGGACGAGTAGAGGCATTTAGGAACTTGTGGGCTGTTCCATAATTCCATATGCTGTGTCAGAGTCCCGCAAGTACCCCAACTCTGCTTGCTGAAACTGGAAGTTATTTATTTTTTAATGGTCCTTGAAAGTCATGAACACATCAGCTAGCAAAAGAAGTAACAAGAGTGATTCTTGCTGCTATTACTGCTTTTAAAAAAAAAAAAAAAAAATCAAGACTCGGAACGCCCTTTTACTAAACTTGACAAGTTCAGTAATTCTTACCGTCAAACTGACGGGTCATTATTTATAAATCAAGTTTGATGAGGCGATCACTGTCTACAGTGGTCCAACTTTTAAGTTAAGGGAAAACTTTTACTTTGTAGATAATATAAAATAAAAACTAAAAAAAAAATAAATAAAAAATAAAAAAAGTTTTAAAAACTGATACCCAATTAGTGTGTGTTTGTGTCGGCTCCTACTGCTGTGGGAGGCAGACGCCAGGGCAGGTGGGCAGGGTGTGCTGCTCCAGTCTCCTGGAAGGTACTGGTCCAATGACTTTTCTTCTTCACCTTTAGTTCTGGCTCAAGGTACCTATAAAAAGCCAAGACTGAGATTCCCTTTCTGGTGGATTAACAGTCAGCTTCAGGAGGAGGAAGGCTGGCCTGAGGTGGACAGCACTCGAAGTCCACATCCTCAAGCAGGTGCAGACTCTGTAAGCTTCCTTTTTCATATCTTCAGGACCAAAATGTGTGTTGTTAGTCTGAGACATCCCAGTTCTGTCTGGCCTGCATTACCAGTGGGGGCAGGAGATACTTTTAAAGAACTGCAATAGAGAAATCCAGGGAGCAGGGCCAGTGCTTGCCTAGTATGCACAAGGCCTTGGGTTTCCGCCCCAGTACTGGTAGGGGAGGGGAGGGGGAACACAGAGAGCAGGAAAGCTAGTTTCCGAGATACAAGAGCAACTTACTGACTCTTACATGTTAAAGTCCCCCCTTTGTCAAAGGAAGAAAAGGGGAAAAGGCAAGTGTTTGAGCAGGGGGCTTTGTAGAGAAAGTAATCGTAATATAGCCTTCAAACATGATAGCAACAAACCAAAATTCTGAAAACCTTTTTAATTCACATACAGCAATTTGTACATTATAGCAAAATTTGTATTCAAGAATAAGTTATCCATACAGTACATAAAACATAAAGATTTGCCAAATACCTTCTGCCTATAATGATAGAAGATGAAATCCCCTCTTCATGTTACAATGTTGCTTATTCCAGCCACACACTGGCTGTTAGGAGGCAGTGGATAACACTGTTCTCAACAGTGTCAGCACTAAGATGACATTTGCAACAAGAGATCTAGCCCTGAAGAAGAACACAAAGGAATCTCAGGGAAGAGATCAAACCTTGATTTAGGTTAAGAAACTGTTATGTAAAAATAGTGTTGTCTGGCCCAAGTTTGTAATGATCACTATTCCTTTTTCCTACACGGTCCAGAAATGATCAAAGGCAGAAGATTCTTACCAGATAAAGCCATATGGATTGCTGGTCTAAAAGTCAAGGCAGGTTAGTTGACTTAATTCTTTGGTGCTGGTGACTGTTAGTTTGTAGAAGTTCAGTAGTCAGGTGAAGGAAGCAATGGTGCTGGGAGCTGTCAAGCTACACTTGTGGTCTCTTAAGCAGGTCTAACTAGAGGGACTCTTGACACTTCCTGCCCAGCGTGGCTTCATCTGCCAGTGGTGGTCAGTCAGGACTGACAGGAGGGGGGTATGGAATGGTGCCTGCTGCTGGCACTGGTGAGGGCATCTAGCCCAGGGCCTTTCTAGCTTAGCTTCTCCCTTCCAGCCAACTGGAACCACTTTAGCAAAAAGAAAAAGACATTGGCTTAGTGTCACTTTACCCCAGAGCCTTGAGAAGGCTTTTTGTCAGAATGTTCTGATTACTTGGACACCTTTTGAAAGGAAGTCTTCTGTGATGGGTGACTTCCAATGCACTGTCACAAAACTTTGCAGCTGCAAAGTCTGCAGTACCTGGCATGCCTACTGACTTTGCCTAAGAGCTGCATGTTTGATGGGCTAAGAAGTACCCACCCCTAAGTTTGAAGCTGATTAAGCTTCTGGCCATGGGAAAGGGACTGTCCAACCAGTCCCTTTTCTGTGCAGATTGGAGAATTATCTGGACCAGAGTGCCTCAGCAGATTGCCTTTCTCTGGTGAGCATTCTTTTGAAAGAGAAATCCAAGAATATTGCTTATATCTTTGGTTCATACTTAAAAAGAAATATTTTAAGGAAAGACAGGTATCCTTAAAGAAGGACCACAAATCTGTATCTCTTGTTGATCTGCAAATACACTGGGGGGATTTCTAGGGTGATGCATATCCCTTAAAGACCCTACAACATTGCAGAATACAGGGGGAACAAAGCCCCACATAAAGCAGGCAGTACTGTTGGTTTCAGGCTGGATATCATGTTTACCTCTGATTGACGTATCTGGGAATTCTAGAGTCCTGATTCCCTAAGGCCATTGCCATGAATCCAGAGACTGAATAGCTCTGCTGGCCCATAAACAGCAGACCCTAGTCCCTGTTCCACTTGATAGTGGGAAGAGCCAATCACTTGTGAACTTGTGTCACTTGTGAAAAACGAGTATAGGTGGTTTGACTTCAGGACCCTTCGTAGACAAGTCTGTGTGTCTAGGGATGTATGCTTCCCTCAGTGAAGTGGCCATCAGCTGGGACAGAGCAATTTTGTGGGATGTTAAGAGTTTCTTAATAGTGGTGCCAGCTTCCATTCTGGCTCTGAACAGGGCCTAAATAAATAAGCTATTAAATGCTTGGAAGTGAGGTGAGCCTATGAGTCTAAGTAAAGGGTCACTAGAAAGGCCCAGGAGCCCTTCCCTCAGTGTTTGTTCCTTTCCTACCCATTCCTTCCTTCCTTTTCAAAGCAGTCATAAACCAGAGACCAGTTTTTATTCATAAGGCACCAGAGTAGAACATTCCTTGCCACCCTCCTCTCAGCAGTTGCCTGGACTTCCCTGAAAGGACACTGACTACCCAGCAGCAAGCGACTATTCTGAGGATAGGCAGACAAAAGTGGCTTGGACCAGGAGTCATGCAGCTGTGCTTAGCTGTTGTTGACTGTAGAATGGCAACAGTGCAGTGAAATAAGCCAAAGTTTCCTGCAGAAACCTGAATCCTTTAAAAAACTAATCTGGGCAGGGCGTGGTGGCACACGCCTTTAATCCCAGCACTTGTGAGGCAGAGGCAGGCGGATCTCTGTGAGTTCAAGGCCAGCCTGGTCTACATAGTGAGTTCTAGGACAGCTGGGGCTACAGGGAGACCGTCTCAAAAAGACCAAAAAAAAAAAAAAAATTGAGGTAAAATGTTTAAAATCATTTTTGACCTTGAGCTTGTCCCTCTGGCAGAGCTTCTGTCCTGAAGCCGAGAGTAGAAATAGGATTGAGTTGTCACCTATGGCACGGTGTGTGGACGAACCCGAAGCCACAGGGAGGAAACCACATGAGAATCCAGGACTTGTTAGTGTTTTGTGCTTCCTGATGATCCTACCTGGTACGAAGTCTGTCATCAGCTGTGACAGCATCAGTTTCCACTGCCCACTCTAGGCCCACGGCCCCACCTTCTCTGTGGTGGTGATTTGGCCAAGGGCTAGTTGCACCTGTGCACAAGAACTCCATCTGTAAACAGTTGAGAGAAAGCCAGGGGCTAGATGAGGCTGGCTGACAGGTGGCCTGTGACAGCCTGATGGAAGGGCATATCTGAGCTTGGAAGGGCTGATAGGTCCTTCAGCTCGGGGGTCAGGGTGGGGGAGTGGTGTTTACATTCACAAGTTTGCATCTCTGCATAGCTGTCAGAGAGGGGTGTACTGGTTGTCAATGGCCCGCATGTGGGTCCGAGAGGAGGAGTCCATCTCATAGTCTGAATCCCGGGCACTGCTCACAGGCTCTGGCTCCAGGTGCCGCAGGCTATTGGCCAGTTCCTCAGGTGAAGGCACCAGATGGAAGATCTGCTCTGGGGGTGTCACTTGGCCTGGGAGAGCCTCTGGGCCAAGCCCTGGAGGACAGTCAGCAGAGCTGAGGTGGGGAAGGCCCAGCTCTGAGTCCCAGTGGGGAAGAGAGAAAGGGAAGAGGACAGTGCTGCAGGAACCTGGAAAAATGACCAGCAGAGAGACATGAGTCTTGACACAATGAAGACAGGTCACCAAACAGGAAATTTAGAACCTCTATATGACATCACCCTTGACAAAGAATCTGAGGTTCTCCTACCTGGTGCCTGGGAGACGACAACCACATAGCTAGAGAGCCGGACATCACAGGCAGCTCCACACTCGAGTGGGATGGGTGAGCGCTGGAAGTGGTAGAGCATGTCCACCACAGAGGGAAAGTGCAGGTGCTGCACACGGCATTGGCCATGTTCTGTCAAGGCCAGGCGGAGGTGCTGCAGGAGGAGGCAGAGGTAAACCTGCTGTTCAGGCTGCATCGGACCCACCTCTGCCCATTCACTTCTATCTTTACCTTGGCTCTGCCCTGGAAGTTGAATGTGAGCACATACTCCCCTCTCCGGGATTCGCTTTGCCGCACCAGGAACACACCGTGGGCATCAGGGCCCTGCAGCTGAACCAGTTGTGCAGCCTTCACCCTGGAGATGGGGCCATGGAACCAGGGATAACAAGACAGGAAATGGTCCGTTTTCTGGCAGGCTGGGTCCAGCAGCAGCCCAGGAGAAGCACCTGGCAGAGAAGATGGGTGGTGGTGACCCCACGTGGGGGCTACATGTCCAGCACACCCAGAGGCCAAAGGCCTGGCACACACCTTGGTCCAGGGAGTCCGTGCTTCCCCTTGGGGAGCTGACCAGACCAGGTTCAGGAGCAGAGGGAAGTGTCTGCTCTGCATCAGTGCTCTCCAGCCTGCAGGGGAAGAGGCCAAGTGAGGAGCAGAGCTGGCAAGAAGAAAGCTAGAGCTGAGGCTGGGCAGGGGTGGGCCTCACCCTTGGCCTGTGCTCATCCCAAGCTCAGCTAGCCACGAGTTCAGCTGTTGTTCGTCGCCTACCTCGAAGATGATATCTGTCCGGTCTTTGACCTGCAGAGAGAAAAGGAGGTGGCTCTGGATCTGAGGAATGTGTGACTTCTTCCAAGGAGCCACACCCCTGGCACTCACCTTCAACACGAAGGTATAGAGGTTGTCGGGCATCTCCAGACGTGTGCATCGCCGGACCTCCTGGATACTAGAACAGGCTGCTTGGAGCTTGGGCTTTGAACTCTAGGAGACCAAGAGGATCATTGAAGGGCTTGTCCCTGGAGGCTTTTCTTCCTTCAGGCCTCTCGGATTGTGTGCAGTCACTTCTACTACTGGTGGAGGGAGGCACAGAACACCCTTTCCCTGCAGCTTCTTCAGCTTTTGTCTTAATAAGAAGATGCTTAGAAACCTGTGCTGGCAAGGACCTGCCTTCCACCCCTTCACTTGGATCTCCTCCCAGTTGGTGGAAGAGAGCTCTCAGTCAGGTAGCTGCCAACCTCGCCCCATCCTACCACGCCAGACTCAGGGTAAAGCCTACCCCAAATGCAGTTGGTTAAAGAACAGCTCCCTAAACCACTGACATCATGGCTGAACAGCCTGGCTGGGAGATGCCACCTCGTGGCAAGCAGCTCAGGGTATCTTACGACCCAAAGTCAGCTGCTCCTAGGAGGAAGGCCACCCTTCTCCTGCCTTCCAGGTCCCTTGTGATAACATTGTTCTTGCAGGGTCATAAGACTGCTGAGGGTTTCCAGCAGAGATTAAGAGATAAACTAGGAGAACAGAAGGAAGGACAGAGGATCTGACAAGCTTTTGCCCCAAGTTCAGGAGACAACCAGATGTTCCCAGAAAATGTTGAAATCTCTCCAAATAAGCAAGTTCAAGGACTTTTCCCTCTACTTCTTGCTCCATCTTAAGAGAGTCTACTCCCATGCTAACATGTTTTAATCAGGTTGGCCTGTCATAGCAGGTTCATATGAGGGAGACCTACAGCAGAGAGGGACCAAGCTAGAACCTGTCCTGTTTAGGGCCACTTCCAGCAGGTGGCTACCCTAGAAGAATAAGAAGGAACTGGAGACATTCCACTCTGAAAGAAGGAGTCCTGGGTGACCTACTTTTGGCAGGATAGAATAAGGTAGCACATCCTGGGGCGGGGGAGCATTGATTCCCAGTAGAGTGGGGTTTTTCCTCCCCTGGATGTTTATGCCAGCCCTCCTGACCCTGCCTCTTTTCTAGCCACAACACAGGCCTAGCAAACGTTCTTAGTCAGCCATGCCATCTCCTTGCCCATAGGAGGCATTGAAGGAAATAAGCCAGGCACGGGGAGGAACAGGGCTGCTCTGCCACTCAGTTATCCAGATTAACCAGCAAAAGTGGCACTGATTGGTGCCTCTGTGATGGCTGCACTCCAGCAGCAGAGGACGTCCTGAGCAGGCAGTGGTGGGGGAGATACCTCAGCCTGCCCCAGGCTGGGCCTCTGGCCCATCTGGTTGATCCACTGAGGGGATAAAAGAACACATCCTAACTATTGTAAGGGAAGGGGGATAAGGGATCCACAGGGTAGGGAATTCTGCCAGGACAAATACAATAGTATGTACTGAGTACATACATGAAGCTGTCATGCTCTAGAGCCAAGTCATCCTGGTCCCCATGTTTGTTGCCTGGAAATTCTTGCACCTTGTCCTCTACCTTAGGCACTGTTCTCATTTGTTTCTCCATTGCTGTGACAAAACACTCTGACCACTACCAACTTGGGGAGGAAAGGGTTTGTCTTACATCTCCCAGGTCACAGTTCATCAGGGAGCCCAAGGCAGGAACTCAGGGCAGGAACCTGTAGTCAGCGCAGGCCATGGAGGAACACTGCTTACTGGCTTGCTCCCCTGCCCCTGCTCAACCTGCTTTCTTATGAAACACAGGACCACACTCCCAAGGGTGGCACCACCCACATCACTCAACAATCAATAAGATGCCCCATGGCTATGGCCACAGGCCATTCCAATGAAGGCAATTCCCCAATTGAGGTTCCCTCAGCCCAGGTGAGTCAAGTTGACATAAAAGCTATCCAGCACAGGCACCTGTCTTCAACAGCCTGGTACTATGTTCTCGTAGTCCCTCAGTGGACCCCAAAGGTCCATAGGGAGAATGGGGACTGCTGAACCTTTATACTGTGGATGCCAGAAGGAAAGGGGGATCCCATAATGAGAGGGCAAGTAGAGACCCTGACAATGAATGGTCTTACTCCAGGCCTGTGCCTAGGGAACCTCCCAGTACTCAGAACAGGCAGAACACAGCCTCAGGCACTCAGAAAGGCAGCTCCCAGCCTAGAGCAAGATCCTGTGTTCCAAAACAGATTTTAGTCTAATTATAGGGGTACCTAAGAGCTGGGAAACAGTCCTTAAGTTTTCTGAGCTTCCTGGAAACCAATTGTAAGAATTCATTAAAAGCTCTGACAAGCAGAGACTAGAACCTAAACACCTCCCAGACTCCACCCTCTTTGGCAGGCTACTGAAATGAGTAGTCAAGGTGAGAAGGTTTGTCATCTTGCCAACTCTCCCTAGCCATAGTTCCTGGCTGCCAGGCCTGGGCTGCATATCTATTTAGCTGTGTATCACTTGTCTCCTTTGCCTCTCTTCTCTCCCCAGAGAAATGATGTTGGCCTAAGGACAGGTACAAAAGTCCCTGAGGAATGTTTTACCATGGGGCATCCAGCACAAGAGCAGCACTTCACCTCTCGGCTAGGCAGGAGCAGGGGCATGGAGCATGGTCCAGAGTAGCACATAGGCCAAGGGATGGTGGGAGGCTAGAAAGAATGCCATCCCCACCACTGGGGATTGGAACACAGGCTTTTCAGGGTTCACATGCCAGCAACACATTGGACCAGAGGCTAAGGAGGAAGAAAGTTGCAGAGAATCAGGCTGCAATTGCAAGTAGGTGATTCCCTCAAATGGTTGAGATGGGACTGCTGGTAGCACACGGAAAGCTGGTGACATCCAGGCGCCTGAAGGAGCGTGGGAACAGGAGGCTGAGTACACCCTCCCCAAGCACCAAGGAACCTCAAAAGTCTTGACCCATCCCTCAAGGCAAGATTGATGTTAGGGTTCTCAGAACCTCCGCTCTAGAGTGCAGAGTTGGGTTGGACTGGAAACAAGGCAACATCTTGAGCCCCCAAAGTAGGCAGCACCAAAATGAACTCCCAACAGTTAACATCTTGATCCCTGTTACAAGGCTGCTGCTTTCTACCTAGGCACTACTACTCTGGCTCCTCTGCTCAGAGCCCCAGAGGCACCAGCCCTCCTCCTTCCTTCCATCTAGTTACATAGAGCACTGCTGCTAGGAACTCCTATTTCCTCTACCTAAAAGGCAGTTCCCCATCTTTGTCTGGCTACCTCTAGACTGGGGCTCCTTACCTGATTGTTGACTGCTTACCACTTGTTCTAGACATGGGAGTTCAAGGAGACGTGGCTGTCCCCAGGACCAAGCTGAGCCTGCTATGCCATAGGTAGTGCTCTGCTCCACAGGGGGAGGGGGAGGGCAAAACAGGAATCATTTCACTGGGTCAGGATGGAGGGCAGGGTGCCAACTGGAAATTAGCTTGGCATCATGGCTTGCCTGACCATGATGCCTGACCTCCCTGGCCATAAGGATCCCTTCCAATACCACAGTCCTGTGTGTCCCAGCAGCTTTTTCTTAGCTTATCAGGTGGCCATGGTTTCCTGTGACTCAGCTGCCTCTACCCCTTGCCTGGAGTGCCCTGGGCTTCAGGCGGGTTGGCCTGGGGAAGGCACTTGGAGAGTCACAGACAGTAGGTATGATACATAGAGCAATGGGTGGTGCCTGTGACTCCTGGCATGTCTGGGCAAGGAGGCAAGTGGGCTGTAGGGAGTTATCCCTTGTGGTCATGGAAGGCAGCAGGCCAGGCCTAGGAGCTGCTGACTGGGTGTTGGGACTACAGGCCTCTTCTTTTGTCCCAAACCAGGACAGAAGACCAGGCCTCATGTCTACTTCATAGACACTTCAAATGCCCACTTCAGCCACCTTTCTCTGTGTGACTCTGTGCAACTCCTACTCAGTTCTGTCTCTGATAAGAAATTGGGTATGGCAGGGTCTACAGGCAAGGGATTACAGATGCTTCCAGGAAAACCACAAAGTGGGGACACCTGCCCTTTCCTGGAAATGGTTTCCTCAGTGCCAGACTCAGCATCACCCTGCTGGTGAGATTCCCCTCCCCCCTCCAGGCAGGCAACACTGGTCTTCTAAGTGACCATGTACACTGGCCTGCCTTCTCCCCCCCTCTCCCCCAACATGCTGGGACCAGGTGGGAAGGGGGGAAGGGACAAGTTTGCTCAGACCCATCAGAAGGAGCTACACTGACAGACACAAAGTGCCTCTCAGAGGGAAATGACCCCTGACCCAAATCCACAGTGACAGACACAAAGCTCCTCTCTCATGCTGGGGCTGCCCCCTTCCCAAACAGCCCATCCAGGCCCCTCTGGGATTTGGTACCCGCTCCTGCTGTGGGCGTGGCCCTGCACAGCACCTGCTTGCTGATGCTGAGAGAAATGGTCTGGGTGACCTGGGAAGCGCTGATGCCTTCTTCAGGTTGTACCCTCACAGCCTTTCCTCCTGAAGTGCCACATGGGGGGGAAACAACCCTGGACTGGTGCCACAGCTGGCTGGCAAGAGCTTCAGTTAGCCCTCATTGGATCCTGTCTGCAGAAAGTCACACAAAGATAGACTGTGCAGCACCAACTGTAGGCCAGTTTTGTCTGCTGCCATGGGCCATACCTGGAGCTCCCCACAACCCCATAGGAACCTTCTTGTATCCTGTACACCTCCTGGCTAGCCTGGCCTTCACGGGCACACCTTCAGGTCATCAGCACCAGGTTAGGCTTGCCCATGATTAGGCCCCAGGCAGGACTTCAAAGTGATGCCATGGTGTCACAGGCTGAAGGGCTGAGAGCAGGGCCAGTTGCAGAAGCCCCATCCCAGCACCACAGCCTCAGTATCTGCTTGGTGCCAGCAAGGGTAGAAGAGGCTGCAGTTAAGAAATAACATTGTTTCTGTCACCAGCCTCAGAGAATGTGAACCCAGAGGAGGGGAGCTTGCCACCAACATCCCCAAAAGCCAAGGATGATAGCTACTGCTGCCTTTGAAGAAAAATGGTGATGCAAAAAAGGGTAAAGAAGAGCCTTGGGGCTAGCAGGCTAGAAGGAAGGCTCCAGCCATCCCCATTGCAGCCAAAATGG